CCCTGGTTAGTTCCCTCGTGGGAAGCTGTCTCGGAGCCTCGTGGCACCCACAGCCTGGATCATACTGTGGTCTTGTCCAAACCAGAATTCCCCTGGCACTGGCACAGACCCATCTGCTGGTGCAGGAAGTGTTAGAACTGGGTGGTGACAACCCTTTTATTTATACCCACACATAGTGGATGTTAAGGACAAATCTTTCAGCTCCAGTAATTTTACTTCCTTAAAAATTCCCTTTGCAGTGTGTTGCTTTCCAACTGTTTTTTATCTCCCCTTAGATTTTTGTTGCCTTTTGTTGTTGTTGTTGTTGTTGTTATTTTTAAATGAACTTTCCAATGTCATTATTTCCTCGGGGCTGGAGTGAAATGAGAAGGTACCTGAAAGGCTTTCGGGTGCCAACCCAATCATTGAATCCGGCCTTGCTGCCTGCAAATTTCAAAGCTTTAAAGCCTTGAAAAGGGATTCAAGTGGAAGTGGTGACACGTAGCAGCATAAATAATTATCTTTGGGCCCTTTCACCTCTGAATTCTTTTTTTACAGCGTACAGAACGCGGCCTGAAGAGGTTAATAAACGCGCTGCCGCAGAGTGCTTACAAAATTAATGCAGCTGCCATGGATCCGGGGGGCTCCGTGGGAGTGGGGGTTTGGGGCCTTCCAGCTCTCCCAGAAAACGAAAGAATAAACTTGGTGGTGCTGTGCAGGTGTTGGGCATTTCTGTTCCAGCCTGTGGCCGCACACAGCGGAGCGCCCGGATCGGCGTCGCGCGGCTCTCCCGGGCCTCCGCATTGTCCCTCTGCACGGGGATTGCTGCTGGCTTCCAAGGATTTTTTTTTTCAGAGGGATGTAACCAACTCGTTTCCTTTTTTAATTGCCTGCAATCAAACCTGGGAAGGAACCTGCAAGGTTCCCTGCCCGTGCAGGCTGCAGGGAGCCTCCCGGCAGGTTGGGTCACGGGCTCCGCGGTTCCCGTGGATGTCTCGGCTGCCGTGGGCCGGGGTAAAGATGGATTTCTCTTTGGGAGAGAGGAGAGGCAGCCCCTCTTCCCCTCCCCACCAAAAACACCCCAAGTAAGGGGCGAACAAAGCCTGTCACTGGTGTTGATGCACCATATTTAGTTTACTTTCTGGTCTCTGCAGTATATCAGGTTTGGAAATTATTTAAGATGCTTCCCGGTGATTCTGTGAAATTTTCCAGTGCATTTTTCACTTGATAGTTGATGCCTCAAATGCCTAAATTTAAGTACAAAAATAAATCTCATTTGGAGTGATTTCCAGAGTGGGATTTAGGTGTCTTTGGCCTACTATTAAAGTGTGAATGAGTCTGGAAAATGCTGCTTCTGTAAAAAATACAGTTTTCATTTTTTTTCCCCTTAAAATACTTCCGTACACGTAAGTATTTTAAGGAAAACAAAAAAAAAAAAGAGAAGCTGTGTTTGTCTGCCCCGAGTGTGAGATACCCCACTTGCTGCTCTCTGCCTGGGGCTCTAAAAACAAAGCACACCCAGAGGTGTCAGTGCTGGGAAGTCCCTTGGCTTTGGGTGGATTTGTTCCCCGGAGCGAAGCCGTGGCCGGCGCTGGTCAGCCCCGCTCCCCTCCGGGGGTTCAGCCCTGCCTGTGTTTCCTGGGAGAGCTCTTGGATGTCCAGCCCTGTAACCGTGGTGGGGGGGGTTTGGTACCTCTCTGTACAGGGGATGTGGAGGGTGCATTGTTCCAGTCCCGAGTGGCGCCTCGAGCTCTCCCAACTTGTTTACTTGTGGTGTTAATCCAAAAAATAAATGCTTGCTTTTGTTTGTTTGCTTGCAGGCGTACGGCCCCGGGAGGCCCTACCCGCTCCCTCCTCCCGCAGGAAGGTACAGCTGGAATTAGCTCCTGGCTTCTGTTTTTATTTTTTTTTTCTTGTTAAACATAGGAAACATCCGGATTTTATTTGTTTTTGCTTTTTGTTCTTTCTATTATTTTGTGGGGGAGAGGGGGGAAAAGAAAAAAAAAGAAAAGAAATCGATGAAACTGTTAAGCACCATCCCTGTAGTTTTTAAACTTGTTTAAAATGTGCATATTTCTTATGGACCTGGTTGCTGATGATTTTTTGGGAGGGGGGCCGTGTGGCTGGGAAGCGGGTTGTGGAGCAGCCCGGGAGCCGCTGGAGGAGGTGGGGGTGCTGCGCTGTCTTCCTCACTCATCCGAGCTGTGCCCGTCCCTCCGGACTCCAAACATCCCCTGCTCCACTCACGAGAGCCTGAAAACAGCCGTGGAGTTTCAAAGAATGCCCAGAAAGGGGATTTGATGGACTCGCGGGGCGCAGCCGGCGGCGCTGGAACACGTGGCCCTCGCCGGTCCCGGTCGGATGTTGGTCGGATGTTGGTCGGATGTTCCTTCAGTGTCTCGCAGAGGGGCGGATTTTTTTGGGACTTGGAAGTAAAACATTTCGACTTTTGCGACGCCTGCCTGTTCCTGGCTTGGTTAGTGGGGGCACAGCCAAGCAGAGGAGGTGGATTTGTCTGTTTGATACCTAATTTAAAATAGCCGCGGAAGGGCACAGATTCCATTCGTTTTTAGTACCTCTTTCTAGGGATTTTTCTGTGTGAGTGTACCAAATCGGTAAATATTTTTATTTGCTTTATAAAGCGGCTTTTGAAATTCTGAGCAGCAGCGTGTGGTTAATTTTCAACCCTCTCCAGGCCCTGTTTGTATCTTTTACTTGCACACACCCCCATTTATGTTGAATTCTTGGAAAATAATTCTACCCGGCCTCTGTCTTAGCATCGAAAATATTTGTTTAAGCAACAAAACAAACAAACAAAACAAAACAAAAAAAATGAGGAGAGCATCCAGTTCAGCTTTCCCTTTGGATTTTTTTCCCTTAAATTCATGTGTTGTGTAAACCAGTAAACTTCCCAGCCCTGCTCTCGCCCCCGATGCCACAGTGCTCGGTGCTCCTTCCTTCCAGGGCGCAGGTGTTAATCGCCAGCAACCAGGGAAGAGCCCAGACAGACCCGGGGGTAACCTTGGGAGGAAGGAATCATCAAACTGGACTCATTATTTTCAAGTGATTGAGGGTGGAGCAGAATCCTTCATTGTAATGCAGCGTTCCAGGAGCCGGGAACGGCCTTCTCCCTCGGATGGGGAAAAGATTGGGGGCTCAAAAAAAAAGTCATTTTGCTTTCTGAGGGGACAAAACCAGCAGCGAGGGTGAGTTTTCGTGGGAGTGGGGTGGAGGACGGAGCGGGGTGGGTCGGCCACATGCCCGAGATGGGATGAACCCGGCATGCCCTCCTGGGCCCTGGGAGCGATGCCTGGAGCAATGTGCTCTCCCGGAGGGTTGGGTTCCTGGGCTCCATGGCCCGGGGGTGGGATGCAGGGCCTGACTGTGGAGCTACCCCCTCCTCGGGCTCTGCTTTGGCTGCCTCTGCACCCCAGCTGCTGGTGGGTTTGGGGGTCGCCCTGGGACAGCATCCCCGTGGAGCTCCTGAAGCTGCTCTACCTAGAGAGAGAATTTTTTTTCCAAGCTGGAGCTGAGCCTGGCACGTCCCCTTGGATTTGACAGAGTTGGAGGGGGAAATCACTCACACCCCAGATGCTCTGAGCTGTCCCCCGTGGGAGCCAGTGGGGAGAAGCACTCCCCTATGGAAAGGGAGGGAGCCCTGGTGGTCCCCATGTGGCATCTGCCGTGAAGGGAAGGGGGGTCCCTGCCGCTCCCCACCCGGGAGAACGCCCCACTTCCCCTCCCGGCTCCCGCATGGGCCTTGGGAAGGGGTCCGGGAGCCGGTCCGTGGTCTGGCAGAGACTGAAATCCCTGTTTTCCACCCCAGAATCGTTCCCTCACGGCACAGCCGGGAGCGGCGCGGGCTCTGGCATTGCCCGGGGCTGGGGAGCCCCTGCCCGGGCCGGGGTCCAGCGGGTCCCCCGAGGATGGGGGAGCCGGGCAGGGGGGGCACGGAATTAAATCCTTGGAGCCTGAGAGGGAGGCGGAAGGAAGGAGCTTTTGGTGTTGTCCATCAGTCCGTACACCGAGAACGAAGCAGCCGACTCGTGAGAACAAGGCTTCCTTTTATTGTTAAAAATAAAATAAAATTAAAAATTAAAATAAAAGAAAGAAAAAATTGCCGGAAACTCCCGAGGAGTGTTTCCCGACGCGCGGGGTTTCCCCGGGAAGAGGCGCGGGGATAAACCCCGCTGTGCCGTGGAGCATCCTCCGGCCCGGCGGCCCCGGCGCTGCGGGGCCCGATCCCCGCCCTCCATCCCGGCGGGAAGCGGGGTCCAGCCCCGGGAATCCCCGGGCTCTCCGTCATCTCCGCGGGTCCCTGAGCTCGTCGGGAGCGGAGCGAAGGGCCGGCGGTTGTGGCGGTTCCGCGGGACGCGCGCCCCGTCCACGCGCGGTCATTCATTTACTGAGCGATATTTAACAACAACAACGAGAAAAACGGTTTTTTCCCCTTAAATCTGAGCGCCGGCCTTCCAGGGCTCTTCTGCCACGGCTCCCGCCGCCGCCGCCGCCTCTCGAGTCGCGACTCAATTTACCTTCCGATCGGGACAAGAGCGGAATCGCACTTCGGGGCACCCCCGCGAAATTAATTCTGCCGAGATAAGTTGCACTTCAGAAGGTTTATTGTGGCGCTCAGCGGGGCTGTGACGGGACACGCCGGGGCTCCGGGTGCCCCGGGGCTGCCGCAGGAGAGCGGGGCCGGGCCGGGAGCGGAGCCCCGCGGTCCCCCGGCTCCCCCCGCCCCGTCAGGGGCGCTCCCGGGCGGGATGCGGCGGCACGGGCGGGACGCGGATCCAGGCCCACGCGTGCACACAGACCCTCCACGCACACACGTGCACACGCACACCCTCGGCGCACTCGCACACTCACACACACGCGAGCGGGGAGCGCCGCGGTCACGCCCGCAGCCCACGCGTGGACGCGCACTCGGCCCCGCCGCGGGGCTGCCGTCGGGGGCGTTTATCCAAAAAAACGGAGAGGCTTTTCTTTAAAAAAAAAAAAAAAAAAAAAAAAAACAGAAGGAAGGACGGGAAGGGGCCGGAGAGAGGGGAGCGCGGGGGCCCACGGGCGTCCGTCGGGGTCCCCGCAGGCGCTGGGCCGGCGGGTCCGGTCTCGGAGGGCCGGGGGGCCGCGGGGGGACACACGGGACACACCGATTACCACGTCCTGCCGTAGAGCAGGTTGGGGCTGACCATGCCGCCGTTGTAGTCGGCGCCGGCCGAGTCCAGGGGGGCGAGGGGGGGCACGGGGCCGTGCAGCGCCGGCGGGCTGGGTGACAGCTCCTCCAGGTCGGCCGCCTGCCCCAGCGAGCCGGGGTGCGGGTGCGCGGCGGGGGCGGCGGGGGCGGCGGCGGGGGGCGCGGGGGCGGCCTGCCCGGGGCCCGGGGTGCCGCTGCCCGGCGGCGGGCAGGGTTTGCCGTCCTTCACCAGCACCGGCACGGCCACGCGGCGCGGCGAGGGCTGCTGGCAGAGGCCGCCGCCGTCGGGGTGCAACTGCTGGGCGGCCGCCTTGTCCTTGGCCTGGCGCTTCATCTTGTAGCGATGGTTCTGGAACCAGATCTTCACCTGGGTCGGGGTGAGGTGGATCAGGCTGGCCAGGTGCTCCCGCTCGGGCGCCGACAGGTACTTCTGCTGCTTGAAGCGCCGCTCCAGCTCGTAGACCTGCGCCTGGGAGAAGAGCACCCTCCTCTTCCTCCGCGGGGCCGCGTGGAGCGGCACGATGGCCTTGGCGCCCTCGGCGATGCCGCTCAGGCCGCCCATCCCGGCCACGTTCATCCCGGCCGACGGGCCCATGAACCTGGAGACTGAGCGGGAGAGGCGGCTCAGCGCCGGCGGCCGCCCCGTCGGGGCCGCGGCTTCCCCCGCCCGCCCCCCGCCGCCGCCGCCGCCCCCCCGCGCCGCCCCGCGCCCGCACTTACTGCTGGAGTAGCGGGGGTCGCCGCCGGCCCCGTACCAGCCGCCGCCCGCCGCCGCGCCGCCCCGCATCCCCTCGGGGTAGGCGGGCAGCTCGCCCACGTTGCCCAGCCCGCCGTTGCAGTAGCCCCCGACGGCGCCGTGCGGGAACTGCGAGACGCCGTGGGGCATGTGGTAGGCGGCCGCCCCCGCGGGGACGTGCTGCGGGACGGCGGCGGGCGCGGGGGGCACGGGCGCCTGGCGGTAGGGCCCGAGGGGCGCGCCCAGCCCGCCCGCCCCGTCCATGCCGCCGAACTTCTTGTAGCTCTCCTCCATCGGGCTCAGGATGTCGGTGACCGAGAAGGGCGTCGTGTGCTTGGGGCTCAGCGACATGGCGCGGCGGGGCGGGACGCGACGGGGCGGGCCTGGCCGGGCCGGGCGCTGCCGCCGGCACCGGCGAGCCGTCCGCGGCGGCCACCAGCCCCGGGCGCCGGTAGCTCGCCGGTTCTTTTAGCCCGGAGCCGGGTTTACGCCAGACGCGGGGGGGCGGAGCGGCGGCGGGCGGCCCCGGCCCCTCCCCGCCTCCCGCCGCCCCCCGGCCCCGGCCCCCTCCTCCCGGCCATTGTCCTGCGCCCGCCCGACGGCTCTTAAGCCCGGCCGCCCCGGGGCAGCGCCGGAGCGGCTCCGAGCGGCCCCGCCGCCCTCGCCCGTAAGTACCCGCCCGTTCCCGCGGCCCCTCGTCCCGACCCCGTCCCGCGGTGCGCGGCGACCCCCGGGTAAACCGTCCCGGAGCAGCGCGACGGCCGCGGCCCCGGCCCCGACGGCAGGAGCCGGGACACCCTCTCCCCTCTTCCCGGGCCGGTGCCCCGGGGGTGCGCGGCTCCCGCCCGGCCCCCGCCCCTCGGCAGCGCTGCCTCGGGGTGCGGAGCCGGCGGGGACCCCCGCGGCACCGGGGCCCCTTTAGGGCTGGCGCTTCATTTGCATCTGTGGTTTGGGGTTTTTTTCGGTCGTTGTTCGTTCGTTCGTTGGTTTTGCGACAACGAAACGCTCCCCCGGGTCAGCCCGAGCCCGCGGGCGGGGGTCGGGCCGGGTGCGGGACGCGCCTCTCCCGCCCCGAGGGGTGGCTGCGGGGGCTCCCGCGGCGGGACCCCGCGCCCGTCGAGGGGCAGCGGCTGCGGGGGCTCCTGCCCGTCCCCGCCGCTCCCGGCGGGCAGGGGAGGCTGAGTGGAGTCTATGACAGGCTGGGAGGACGCGGCGCAACCAGACTCCGAGGCCAAACCTTCCCCTGGCCCCCCGGGCCGGGCACCGCCGCGACGGGTCGGCCCGAGCCCGCGCGTCCGTGCGCGGGCAGATGCGCTGTGTGCGCGCTCCCGCCGCGCCCGGCCCGGGCGGGGGGACCGCGGGGCTGCGCTTTATCGGCAAATGGATCAAACTCGGTGTGTGCCAGCAGCAGCACCTGCACCTCCCTCCCGGGTGGACACCCGCTCCCGGGCTGATCCCGGGGTTTGTCCCTCCGGCCACCTCCCTCGTCCCCCTCTGCTCCGTTTGGGAGCCGGGGCTACCCCGCACCTCCGGACCAGACCCTTCCCTTCCCCTCTCAAGCCCGACCCTTTCCCTGATCCCTCTGGAGGCAAAGCACCTGCAGATCTGGCGTGATTATGAAAAATGAAAGACAGAAGATCAGAGCAAGGACAGCTCTGCTTCTTGAAGTTTGTGCTCCTCCCTCAGACCCTGAGATCGATCCCGGTGAGGGGCAGGAGTTGAACATGTCCCCAGTCTCCGTGTGCTGCTGCCCAAATCCCCTGCTCCTGCCAGTTTTATCCAGCTGCAATTTTCCCACAGTTCGGGCAGAATTCCTGGCACCTACATCCTTTTTCCCTGAGCCCGTTTTCCCGTTACCTGCTTAAAAAAAAATAATTCAAAAATGTAACCCTCTCGACATTGCTGTGGGAGCAGTGCAGGGGCTGCTGCAACCCCTGCCCCGGAGGTGACCCACTGATGGGCATCCATGGGGAGGGGACACAGCTCTGGCTGCTGTCCCTGGGGTTGGGGCCCACAGCAGAGCCCCCAGTGCCCACCAGCCCAGGCACTTCTGTCACCAGCTGCTCTCTGAGCTGCTGAGCAGTGTCTGAGCCCAGCTCTTACTTCCCCAGAGTCTTCCTCAGAAAGCTGACGGTTGTACTCCTATTTTATTTCTTGTGGTTTTTTTCCCTGGAGTTTTCCATCCCTTTTAGAGCAGGTCTGCTCCTGGATAGAACTCACACTCCAGGAAGGAGCTGCTGAAATCTCCATCCTCCCCGGGCACAGCGGTGCCCTTTTGTTGTCAGGGCAGGTAGCATTGCCCCCCAGATGGGGATCAGGCTCGAGCCCCCCTGGCCTGGCAGGAGGAGAGGGGGGACCCCACTCAGCCCTGCAGGGAGAGAGCCCTGGGGTCAACCTGCAGCTTGGCAAACCAGGGACCCTGGAGCACCCCCAGCCCTGAGCAGCTGAGACCCCCGGGAGCTGGGTGGGTGGATGGATGGACGGATGGATGG